GCGCGGGATGGGGGCACAAAGCGAATGGGGCAGAGGGGATGCGACCTGCGGTAGAATATGGAAGGGGGAAAATTCCTCCTTCCCCCCCCCCCCCCCCCCCCCCCCCTGATCCCCCCCTTCCTGATCCTCTTCCTCCTCCGCGCCCCTTGGGCGATTATGTCGACGCCCCCAGCGCGCGGGGGGCGCGCGGAGAGGGCAGCTCCCTTGCCTGCCGCCTCCTCGCCCCCCCCGCCCCTCCCCCCGCGCCCATTTCCTTATCGTCCTCCTCCTCTGCTCGCCCCCCCTCCCGCGCCCCCCCGCGCCCCTCGCCCCCCCCTGCCCCCCGTCTTCTTCGGCGCGCCTAAACTGGGGGCGCAAGAGACGCTGGCCTCGCGGGCGCCGGGGAAAGGAGCCACCACGGCCCATGGGTTAAGGGGCAGCAGCGCCGCGCGAGGGGGGGGCGAGGGGGGGGGCTCGGCAAGATCGGCACTGTGAGAAGACGCACGTTGCAGGAGTCGGGGGGTGGGAAGGCCGGGGAATGGCAGGAAGACGAAGGGGAGAGGCGGCGGCGGCGGTGGCGGGCGAGCGCGCGCGGGGCGGGGGGGGGGGCGGGGGGGGATCGGCAGGGGATACGAGCGAAGAAAGAGAGAGAAAGAGAGATAGAGAGAGAGAGAGAGAGAGAGAGAGAGAGAGAGAAAGAGAGAGAGAGAGAGAGAGAGAGATACAGAGAGAAAGAGAGAGAGAAAAAACAAAGAGAGAGAGAGAGAGAGAGAGAGAGAGAGAGAGAGAGAGAGAGAGAAGAGCGAGAGAGAGAGAGAGAGAGATGGAAACAATAAAAAGATAAAGAGAAAGAGAGATGTCAATATATATAAATATATATACAGAGAGAGAGAACCGAAACAAAAAGAGAAAGAGAAAGTGAAAAAGACAGAGAAATAGACAGAGAGAGAGGGGGAGAGAGAGAGAGAGAGAGAGGGAGAGGGAGAGAGAGAGAGAGAGAGAGGAGAGAAAGAGAGCAAGAGAAAAAGAAAGATAAGTAAACGCATATCTATATGTAATCAGAGAGAGAGAGAGAGAGAGAGAATAGAGAGAGAGGGGAGGAGAGAGAGAGAAAGAGAAAGAGAGAAGAGAGAATGAGAGAGAGAGATAGAGAGAGAGAGAGAGGAAGAGAGATGAGAGAGAGAGAGAGAGAGAGAGAGAGAGAGAGAGAGAGAGAGAGAGAGAGAGAGGAGAGAACAACAAAAAAACAAAGGGATAGGAGAGAGAGAGGGAGAGAGAGAAGAGAGAGATATACATATAAGAGAGAGAGAGAGAGAAAGGTGAGAGAGAGAGAGAGAGAGAGAGAGAGAGAGAGAGGGAGAGAGAGAGGGAGAGGAGGAGAGAGAGAGAAAAGAGAGAGAGAGAGAGAGAAAGAGAGGAGAGAGAGAGAGAGAGAGAGAGAGAGAGAGAGAAATAATAATAATAATAATAATATAAATAATAAAAAAAAAAAAAAAAAAAAAAAAAAAAAAAACGAGAGGCCACCGGCTGCAATTTTTCTCGGAGGGGAAAAATGGGGGCGGAGAGCTTAAATCCAGCACTCGCACTCATGAACAATGCGTGTGCCCCAGGCAATGTAGCGCATTGACGCGGGTCGCGCTCGCCTGCCCTCGTCGCATGGCTCGCGCAGTCTCGCGGCGTCTCTTGCGCGCTGACGCGACGGGGGATATATTGCGCCAGTGATTTGCCCTGCGCTTAGGAAGAATAACCCGCTCGGCATTTTCTCCAGCCGCTTTTCCCGCTGAGGGGGCGGATTTAGCGAGCGGGGGCCAAGCTCCGCGCCTGACCGCGCCAACATGAACTACTGGCACGCATCAATAGAGAGGCGCGGGGGCAAAAACAACGACATAACCATCGACGCAACCGACCGCCATGCGAGCGCCCCCGGCGCTGGTTCACACGACCCGGCGGCCTTCGCAGCCGAAAAAAATATAACCAACGCTGGGGGGAGAGCGTGGGGGGCAGGCCCCGACCCGCTCAAAACCAATGCGCCAGCGAAGCCCCCGGTGCGCTACAGCACGCAGCGCTGCGATTGAGAGGCAGCAGGGCGGCAAAAAAAAAGAAGGGGGGGGGGGAGAGGCGAGAGGCGGCCTAACTAAATTCATGGCGGGCACCTGCGAAGCGCGCTGCATGCGCGGCATCGCGCGCGGCTCAACTGCAACAGCCTGGGCGCGCGGAGCGCGCGCATGGTGCCGGAGGGCGGGCGCGCGAGACATTGCGGCAAGATGATCAGCATCCGTTCAGGCCATGGGCTGAAGCTGAATCCCGCCAGCCCCCCGAGCGCTGGGGGGGGGGGGCCGGGCGGGGGAAGCCCCGGGCGGCCCCGAAGTGCCCGGGCGGTCTCATATAGATCAGCGACGGCGTCTGCGTCGGCTGATCCGAAGGGGAGGGGGGGGGGGGGCGCGCGGGGGGGGGCCCGCCCGCGGAGGGCGCAGCCCTGGTCTTCGCCTACCCGAGCAAGCGCTGGAGGCCGAGCCCCCGCCGAAAGGCGGCGCGGAGCCCCCCTGCGATTACCTGCTGCGCCGAAGTGGGGGGGTGGGGGGGGGGGCAGGAGGGAGGCGCCGAAGTGCGTCGGGGCCCCTTTGAATGAAAAGGTGAATGAGAAAGGCGCCCAGAGGGCTACCTCCCCAAATTGGGGGGTGCCCTGGAAGAAGCCGCCGAAGATTGGGGGAGGACATCGGGCAGGAAGCGTAGTAAAGAATATCGTCTCTTCCCATGCACCTGCGCCCGACTGAGCATCGCCCAGGGCCCTGCCGATGCCTGCGGGCGGTGTTCCAGGAATCTAAGATCGACTTAAGTACGGCAACAAACGCGGAACCAGGGACAACCTCACTGGACTTCAGGATGCGTAGAACGTATGAATCCATGCCAGCATCAATAATCTGTGGCGCCCACGTGCGAACGCGCGGTCGGAAGCTTCTGGCCCCTCTCCTTCGCGAAGGCAGCAGCGAGCTTGGCCCGGGCACCTCTCGGGTGGAGGTTAGGCGGAAGCTTCGGAATAAGCACTGAACTGAGGTACAGGCGCGCGCGTTGGCAACCATTGAATTGCGGTCGAAAGTTCTGCTCATCGTGTCGCAAAGGGAATGGAAGAGGAGAGAGTTGTGGGCGACTCGTAACCGCGCGGCTCGGCTCTGCAATTCGAGCGAGGTTGCCTGCGCGCCGAGCCCGAGGGACTTAAACCGAGGGGGCACTTCTGTCGGGAGTGAGCGCCGCGGGCTGCAAGTGTACAACTGGTGGGCTTCAAGTTCAGCTTTAAGAACATGTCTGGTCGGCGCGTGCCCCTGGCCGATATAGTGGCACGCGGGGGCGGGGGGGCGGGGGGTGGGTGGGTGGGGTGGTTTGGGTGGGCGGGTGTGTGTGCGGTGTGCGTGGTGTGCGTGTGTGCGTGTGTTGCGTGTGTGTGTGTGTGCGTGTAGGTGCGCGTGTGTGTGTGTGCGTTGTTGTGTGTGTGTATGTGTGTATGTGTGTATGTGTTTGTGTGTGTGTGTGTCTGGTGTCTGTGTGTCTGTGTGTCTGTGTGTCTGTGTGTCTGTGTGTCTGTGTGTGTGTCTTTGTGTCTGTGTCTGTGTGTCTGTGTGTCTGTGTGTGTGTGGTGTGGTGTGGTGTGTGCGTGTGCGTGCGTGTGTGTGTGTGTGTTGCGTGTGTGTGTGTGTGCGTGTTGTGTGTGCTAGTGTGCGTGTGTGTGGTGTGCGTGTGCGTTGCGTGCGTTGCGTGCGTGTGTGTGTGTGTGTGTGCGTGTGGGTGTGTGTGTGTGTGTGTGTGCGTGTGCGTGTTTGTGCGTGTGTGTGCGTGTGTGCGTGCGTTGTGCGTGTGCGCGTGAGTGTTATGGGCAGCGGTGCTCGTGATAAGCCCTTCCCCCATCCCTTTTACCATATTTGCGAACTGAAGAACTTTCCCTCGCACACCTTTCCAAGAACGACCGCCCCCATCCTTCCCAATCATAGATCCAAGACTTCCACCTTAAACCTGACAGTGTTAATGCCAACGCACTTGAAGCGGTCAACAGCTCCACCGAGAAGCTCGGGGCTCTGCGTTCAGCATCTGCCCGCTGGCGTATCCAAAAGAACATATGGCTCTGGTGATGGGCCCGGGCGAGCTGAAACTGTCGGCGGCGACCAGCGCAATGTCATCGGCGGAGGCTGAAACCTGTTTGGGAAAAGCGGCGGCCAGGGCCTCAATGCAGTGGAGCAGCGGATCAAGAGCCAGGGCGAATAAAACACCAGAGAGCGGGCGCCCTTGTTTGACTCCTCTGAGGGCCTGGGAGGAGACCTCGTGGGAAGCTCTGAATGACCTGATGCAAGGCGTGTTCTGGCACAGCAACATAATGGCCGCGATGATGAACTCGGGGGGCCGAAACGCACGCATAGCATTGCATATCCATTCATGTAGGGCAGACGGAAAAGCAACGCGAACATCATGCAGAAAGGCCCCGCATTCGCCGCGGCAAAACATGGCGCCCCAGCGCATGATATTAAAGCCAACCTCATGCCAATTGCCATGATACGTTTACCGCGAATAAAGCCACGCTGAGGCGAATGGCCACGATCGGCGATGACGTGCAGCAGGGGGCGGCGATAAGGCTGCCAGTGATCTTGTCGCCGGCGTTCGAGAAAGCGATGGGTCTCGCGTCTTCGACGACTGACGACTTCCACGACGTGACTGGGATCGGGCGGATCGCACTTGGCTAGCAGAGCAGGCCCGGAGCAATGGAACTCGACATGTGCGTTCCGCCCCCGAGGATACGTTCGTGCACTTCGTGCAGCGCCTCCTGCGCAACAGGGCCAGCGGCTCTCCAAGCGCTGCAGCGTCGACCGTCGGGGCCTGGAGCTGAATGCCATTTGCAATCGGGTGTGTCCAGGAAAAGGCCAGAAAGGTTGGCAACTAGGGGCACCGCGGTGGTCCGCTGCCATTCTGGCTCAAGCTGGTTGGGAAGCTCGAGTGGGCAACTTCGCCTGGGGGGGCGTTCCAGGGCGCGGCCCCAGGCGGTCGCCGCGCCCCGCGCGCCATGGCCGCCCCCGAGAACATGGCGGCACAGATGAAGGCCATGCTCGACGCCAATCGGGAAGCCATCGCGCAGCCCCAGCAGTCCGAGCTGCAGCCCAGCATCTCAAGGCTGCAAGGTCAGATCCCCGCGCGGGGCACGGAATCCCGGCAGCTCAAGCGCGAGCTCTCGGTCCAAGCCAACAAGATCGCCAATCTAGATTCCAAATCCAGCACCGGCGCGGGAACTGCGTCAGCTCACTTTCAAGAGGCGCATCTTCGCATCGACAAGCCCTCGAAGGAGGTGAAGATCAGCGAGTCCAACATGACGATGGGAATGGCAATCCCGCGGTCAAATTTATAAGCGCGTTCCCTCGCCCCCTTCTCATGGAGACCAGGCAAGCTCACTGGTTTCAGTTGCAGCCCATGCCCCCCGGATTGAAGAACGAGTCAGGAGCCGCGGCTATCTTCCATGGCCCGAGCTAATAAGTGTACGAGCTGTAGTTCACCCGTGCAGCTGGCGCCCAGAACTTCCAACGCAAGCTGAACCAGGCCGGCATGGAGTGGGCTGATTTCCGCGACAACAATAAGTACATCATCAGAGTTCGGGGTGATATTCCACTGCGCGCTCGTCAGGAGAAAAAAAGTGTTTTCTGGTTTGTATTGCGACATCCTCGAAGAGCGCGAGAAATCCCTCCATGGCGCCAGCGACTGCAAGCTGGAGATCAACGGATTCAAAGTCGTCATGCAAATCGCCACCTCGCGCGACGTCTACGAGCCGATCGCGGCCGCCTAGCAGGGCGAAGACGCCTTCAAGTTCGAGCCGACGAAGGACAACCTCGACAACTGGGACATTTCGGACGAGCGTTTCAGCGGCATCATCGAGGCCCTCTGATAGGCGCTAGCGCGGCACAAGGGCTGTCAGGACCTTGCCGCATATCCCACCGCCTCTCTAGCCGTTCCCATTTTTGCCCCCTCTGCCACCCAGGCCGAGCGCGGGGTTTGCGAGGCCTCCAGCGCCCCCCCCCCCCCTCGCCCCCGCCCCCCCCGCCCCCCCCCCACGCGCGTGCGTCAGCGGAGCCATCGGTTTTCCACCTCCCTCTTCTAAATATTCTCAACACCTCCCGGGCAGAGCGTTCAAGATTGCGACGCGGAGTTCTCGGGCGCTGATTGGATCGTTGTATGCAGACCGGGTTCGGATTCAACATGAGTTTCATGCACTTCAAGACGCCCTTCGAAAGGACCAGATCGTTTGCCTTCAAGAGACTCATGCTGACACTGGAGACCTGCCAAACTTGCCCCGCGAGTTCAAGACCCACTCTCTGTGCGGTTCGTTCTGCGAGCGCCCGGGTGCTGGAGGCCTCTTCATTTTTGTCGAGAACGCCCTGTTGTGCGATTTCCAATCAGTCTCTTTCCAAGAGCTCATCCCTGGTCGCATTGCAGGCCTGAACCTGCGTGGGCTGAAAAAGGAATTACAGATCAGCAATGCACGCATTGATCCTGATCTTCTTGAACCTGGGGTCCGTCGGCAATTCCAAGCTATTCGAAACATCTTTCGGCCATCTCTCAGTGCTACTTCCTTCGCCCCGGAGACTTCAATTGCCACGGACAAAAAGGGGAGGTCGGCGCAATCTCACCGCAGGTTCAGAACACTTCGGGACCTCGAGGAGACCAGCTCTATTTCACACACTTTTTTCCTGACCATGCCAGGGCTGAAATAGCAAACTGTGCCCATCGCCGAGTTATCTCGCAACCTGCTGAGCAGATTTCCTTCGGCCGTCTCGATCGGATCTACTGCAACATCGCCACCCCCGACCTCCTGGACCCCTGCCCTGCCTGCTCCACCATCTGGAACGTCTCCGGCCTCACCTTCCTTTCCGGCCACGTCCACGTCGACCTCTCGCTCAAGCCGTGGAAACCTGAGCAGCATCACGTTTACTTACCTCCTTCTTGCCAGGCCTTCGTTCGCTAAACACTTCGAGGATCTCGTAAAAGGGCAAAAGCTGAGCGATGACCCCCCACGAGGCTAACCGATATTAAAACCTGATCGCCGCAGCTGGCCAGAAGACGAAAGCAGAAATGTTTCAAACGTCGGCCAACACGCTGCAGGAGAATATTGCCTGCTGTCTGAAGCTCGTTCGTGCGCACCGCTCTCTACTGGAACCTGCCGCCAAGAGTGCCACCCGTGCTGATCCCCAACTTACCCCGCTCTACGACGCCGAACATATGATGTGGTGCAACTGGCAAGGCTTCCAATCATATTTACAGGAATTGATGTATCGGGAATTGGCGGCGCAGGAGGAAAGGACTCGCGGCCCCAAAAGCGGTCCCCGCATCAACCCTGACTTTCATCTCCTGCGTACTCGTAAGCACAGCAAAACCTGGAAGGCTGAGCAAAGGTCGATTTGCCTCACTTGCATGATCGACCGGAAAGGACCCGAACAATTGGATGCGGACGTTTGTGCTGAGTTTTTTGTGTGCCCGCTGGGGCAAAGTATTTGGTGCCTGGCCAGGGCCACATGCGGCAGGAACTGAATACCTTCAACGTTTGTCCTCCATCGTTACGTCCCTGGGTTCAGGCGGAGGAGGAGGAGGAGGAGGAGGAGGAGGAGGAGGAGGCGGAGGAGGAGGAGGAGGAGGAGGAGGGGAGGGGGAGAGGGAGAAGAGGAGGAGGGGGAGGAGGAAAAGGAGGAGGAGGAGGAGGAGGAGGAGGACTCTGGATTGGTTGGTGCCTCCCCCCCCTGCAGGTCCTGCTCTCCCGCCCTCCCCACGACGGCCCGCCCATTGACTCGGCTCGGGGTGGCTTGGCGGGCGTGCGCGAAGCCAGAACCGCCAGAGACCCACACGCAGGGAGCGAGCCGGACGCCCGCCCACGGCTCGCGCCCAAGCTTATGTTGCCCCCATCGTACTTGATGGCCACATCCCAAAAATAATGTTTAGGGGGCCACATGCGAACCCTACCCCTACCCCCCTACTATTTCTGGGGGGGAGGGGGAGGGTTCGCATGTGGCCCCCTAATGTCGAGCACCCGGAAAATTGTCGAAAGAGTGTCGGAAGAGTGTCGAAACAGTGTCGGACGAGTGTCCCCCAGGGCACGACACGTGAAGACGCTCGCGCTTTGGTACTTTGTTTGGTGCTCGAAATTCCAGGCGAGGTGGCCCACCCCCGCAGTCCGAGACGGCGGCAGAGGTTGGCGGCGAGCGGGGGGGTGGAATGAGAAGGAGAAGGCCCTCTGAGAAGGCGGCGGGGCTGCTCGAAAGCCCTCCGATCTTCTGAGAAGCTTTCTGTGTCTTCGGGGAAAGCTCAGAAAACTTCTCAGAAGGCTGGGGGACTTCCTACTGAAAAGGCCCGCCCCTTCTCACTTCCCCTCCTCGCTCGAGGACGAAGAGGGTGCAGTCAAGGAAACACCATGCAGTCAAGGAGCGCAGACTGACTGAGGAACGAACGGGCTTGACCAGCCGCAAGCCTCGGCCACGAGTAGGTCTTCCTCGGCCTGAAGTGGTCCTCGTTTCGGCGTCTTGGCTGCAAGTCACGGCGGGCCTCTTCCCTGGGACACCTGGCCTGCCTCCTCGTGACGGTGGGCCCCGTCAGTCTCCGACACTGTCTTCGACGGCATCTCGGAGTGCACGCAGCTCTCGGGACAGGGGGCCCAGGACGCCCCGCCAGAGAGGGGCAGAAGAAGGAGGCGAGGAGTCAAGTGGCTGATGCGAAGACGACGACGAGAGAGAGAGAGAGCGTGAAGAATGGAACCCCAACCAAAAATACGCCGATGGCTAGGGCTTGGCACGCCCGAAGTGGATACGAAAAAATAGATGCGAGGCCCAACAACGAAAGTTGCCCCAAACCGACAGCGGTAGGGGTTGGGCAGGCGAGCTTGTGGCTCAACTGGACAACGCCCGCGGCGGCACCGACAGCGAGCCCTGTTCGAAATCGGCAGGAAGTGCTACCGTTCTTCGTCCCCCTTTTGTTCCGTACCCATTTCGATCGTGCCGAAGTGGGTAAAACGCACTCCCCGAAGGCGCCCCGGCCTGCTCTCTTGGCGTCGAACTCGGACTCCATCTGGCGCGCCCTCTCGGCGCGCTCCTCGGCCCGCTTGTCCAGCGCGCCGCCCAGCTCCTCGAGCTCCGCGCCTCGGCTCGGGCGTCCCCGGTTTCCTCCTTCACTTGGGGAACATGGATCCTGCCTCTGCCATCTGGGGATCAAGGTCCGCTGGGACAGCCAAGTGGTTTGCCCTCCTCCTCCTCCTCCTCCTCCTCCTCATGTGGCGCTTCTCAATTTTGTCTGGGCCCTCCCGCTCAAGTCGGCGGTGTCACCCCAGTCGTTAGGCAGAAAGTGGGCGGGAGGGGTAGGGTATCAAATGCGGCGCGATCGCGCCCAACTTGCCCACCCCGCCTCGCCCACCCCCCTTTTGCCTTCGCTTCGTCCGGCAAACTCGGGAGTTCGCGTCAAACCACGAAGCCTGGCTGGCCAAGTGTGGAAATGCTGGTCTAATAGACAAGGAGCATGCCCACTGCGCACAAGTATAACTACCCCCATACAATCAACGAGTGGTGGTAGACCAGGCGCCAATCGGTGGTGGAATGAGTGGGTATACGTTGGCGAGCAGATGCCAAGGTTATTCGCCTGTAGGGGTGGAAATTGGTGCGGCAGAGGCAGCATGCAGTAACCTTGCTCGAAGGGTTTGGCTTCCTGGGGGTACTGAGTGCCACCCACGCAATCGAAAAGTGAACAAGAATGAGCACCAACACCGCCCCTACCCCTAACCCTGGTCGTTCCTCCTGGCAGTCTTCCCCCGCCCCCTTGTTGGCCACAACACATCGACTATACATCCCTTATTCCTTCCTGGACATACCAAGATATCCTCGCCAACTCCGCCACGGGACCTGGAGACAAAGTTGGAGTGTACTCAGGTCCGTTGTGCGCCATCGGTCCTGAATCCGCCAGGCCTTGTGTCCAGTGGGAGTGTTCGAATTCTTGCTGTTGTCGGGGGGACTCCTTTAGTTTTCTAGGGACGACCCCCCCCTCGCCCCACCCGTCGTTTGAACATCGCCCCCCTGAAATTGCATCCCGGCGAGCTTTTCGGCATCAGATGGCCAAGATGGCATGGCCTCCAAGACGACTTCCAAGACAGCCAAGACGACACCAAAACAGCTCAAGATGACACAAGACGGCTCAAGATGCTCTCAAGACATCCTCAAGACGGCCCAGGAGGCCCCCAAGACGGCCAGACAGCCCCTGCAAGATAGCTCCAAGAGGCCCCAATAGGGCCCCGAGTCGGCCCAAAAGGACCCCAAGAACGCCCATGAGACTCGCAAGAGGGCCCCATGACGGCGCTAAAGC